TAAAGGAACAGTTTGACATTTCAGAAAATATTTGCTCTCTTATTGTTTTGCACAAAGACAGAAAATGAGAAGACAATCCTTTTGCAATTCAAATAATGCACAGAGTGGATTTATTTAATCTTGCATTTTGTGGAATAACAATTCTATTTATTGAAACACAGACAGGTCACCTTTTTTTATCATCTTTATTAAAAAACAATCAGACAGAATTAAAGATTTTCCCTTTCACTTTTTAAACTAATCACGAATAGTAAGCCCCCGGCCGCATAAATGATGGATCCACAAAGTAAAATAAACTAACATTGAGGGAATCTGTTCTTAATACATACATAATCATAAATCACTTTACTTAAAACACAGTATTTCTTACATGTCTACCATAATAGACAGCTTATATGAGGATATTCACACTTATTCTGCAAATAGAAATGACCAAATTCAAACAATTGGGAGTTTTTTTCATCACGTTCCACGATAAAATCTACTTTCTGTCCTATCCTTAACCTGAGTCAGATTTGTATTGCCTTGTGAGGATATGGAGTGAGCGTTAACTCCCCTTCACGTCTCTTCAGCATGTGCAGGATGTCCTCCGACACAGGAAGCCTTATTTAAAAGTCAGTGGAAGAGAAGGGAGGAGACCGGGTGGGGGGGTTTGTTGTGGTGAGTCAGAAAGTACAGCCAGCAGCATGTCTGTGAATCTTCTCCTCTCTCTGCTCCTACTCCATTACATTTCACTTGTGAGACGCTTTTATCCAAAGTGACTTACATACATTCAGTACTAGGAAACAGTTGGCCGAATGCCGAAAGGCCGAAAATGATTAATAGAAATATATATATATATATAATGTATACATTTTTTACCAATGTTGTTCAGCTGATTATGGAAAAATACATGATTAGGGCAAAACTTAAATAATAATCACTATTATGGGTCCATAAAACATTTATTCAGCACTTTTGAATTCATACAGTACATTAATTCCAAGTCAAGTGCATTTTCTTTTCTCTGTAGGATAACTACAACAAAGTGCATTCAGAACAAAGCCAAGGTGCTTTAAAACTGCATAAACATCTAGGCCAGTAGGCCTACAACAAAATAGTGTAAATAAAGGCTGTAACAGCCAGGCCTTCAACAACAACAAATGCACCTATAAGTTTGGTAACCTAACGTGTTATTGTTATGACGTAATCAAAACGCGGCAACAAGCACAGCGCGCGACCATGCTCGCGGCTGGCTCACAGCCAACATATCTGCCGCTTGGAGATATTT